GCCAAAGTCCTGGACACCCCGAAAAAGCCGGTGCTGGCCATCCTTGGCGGGGCCAAGGTCTCCGACAAGATCCAGCTCATCATGAACATGCTCGACAAGGTCAACAAGCTCATCATTGGCGGTGGTATGGCCTACACTTTCTTGAAGGTGAACGACGGTATGGCCATCGGCACCTCTCTCTACGACGAGGAGGGTGCAAAGATCGTGCCTGACATCATGGCCAAGGCCAAGAAGCTGGGTGTTGAGATCGTTTTGCCGGTCGACTTCGTGATCTCCTCCAAGTTCGGAGAGGACGGCGAGATAAAGTCGGCCACGAAGGCAAGCGGGATCCCCGATGGCTTCATGGGCCTGGACTGCGGCCCCAAGTCCATCGAGATGAACGCGGCGGCAGTGGCTGCTTCGAAGACCATCCTGTGGAACGGGCCGATGGGCGTGTTCGAGATGTCCAAGTTCGAGGCCGGCACAAAGAAGCTCATGGACTCCGTCGTCGAAGCCACCAAGGCTGGCGTGGTCACCGTGATCGGGGGGGGCGACACCGCCACGGCCTGCAAGAAGTACGGCACCGAGGATAAGGCCTGGCGTAGCGCCGTGCGGGGGGCTCATATCGCCTCTCCTATGTGGCTCTTTTGGCTCAGACTCTTCCGCAGTGTGCTGAATTTGGACATTGGTTGTACCCCATGTGGTCGTTGACATTCGGCCACCTCAGGCGCCGTCTGGAGGTGTGTCCGTGAGACCACAGCACGGTGTGCTCCTCGTCTGGGGAAGCGAGCGAGCTGGAGTCTCACTGATATATCGCTCAGCTCAGTGCCACATTCAGTATCGATAGAATTGAGCAGACGCGCAGCTCCGCATTACATACGTTCGAACACATGCTTCTGCTAGGGAAACGAGCACACATCTTCCCTGTCTCCCTCTTACAGTCAGAGCGTGTGGGGAGATTAAGCGACTGCAGAACGCGTTTTCGCTGGGCAGCCACGTCGTGGACGCGAAGTTGTAGCGGAATATGGTTAATCACAATGCTTGCATCATCCTGCGTGAGAAATATGGGCGGTGGAAGCGTGCATTGTGGCCGATCGACGAGATCAGGGCAGCGACGTTGGAGCAGGACACCATCGGTTACAATGCTGCAGTTACTGCGTGCGGGGAAGCCGGGCAGTGGTACAAAGACTAAGTACTAGAGACCAAGCTGGCGCAGGTCGCCGTCAGCCTCAGTTCAGGGATCAGCGCGTGCGGCAGAAGCGCCCAGAGGCAGCATGCTCTGTCGCTGCCTCGTCAGCTCGCGAAGCCCTTTGCCACGAGGGCTCCTCCCAGGGCCTCCGAGGGGCGAGAAGCCGCTCTCCAGGCGGAAACGATGTCCTCAGCTGTCGACCTCCCAGCTTCCACGAGAGCCACCTGTGGACGCCCCGGGCTCACCAGAGCAGCACCCAGAGGCCCCCAGCGGCGCCCAGATGGCCCCAGGAGGCCCGCGAGGCTCCCCCGGGGAGCCCAAGAAGCCTCAAGTTGGCCTCAAGAGCGCCCCAAGTTGGCCCCATGAGCGACCCAGGGGAGGAGGAGGAGGAGGAGGAGAAGGAGGAGGAGGAGGAGGAGGAGGAGGAGGAGGAGGTCGAAGAATAAGAGGAGGAGGAGGAGGAGAGGAGGAGGGAGGAGGAGGAGGAGGAGGTGGGAGCAGGAGGAGGAGCAGGAGGAGGAGGAGGAGGAGGAGGAGGAGGAGGAGGAGGAGGATGAGGAGGACGAAATCGATGCCGGCTACACGCGCCTCGCTCGCCCATTGCTCCTCGATCTTCGCACACCCTCTCTCCTCGCTGCTTGCTCCTCTCCGCAAGTACTCCATATACGAGTGCTGCTCTTCTCTCTCTCTCTATTCTTCTCTCTCTCTCTCTTCCCAGAAGACGTCCGGTGGGCATTGCCCTCTCCGTACAGTATCCAAGCGTTGGTGTTATGATGGTAGCCATCGTGAGTCCCAAACAGTGTATTTCTAGCAGTGTTTTTCGCTAGAGTCAACGCGTCTAGTAAGGACGCGCGCCTTCATCCATGTTGCACTTGTGTCCTTGCCTCTGCAACCCATCCTTTGCCGTTTTCACTTGTCGCCAGCCGCCCTCTCGGGTATGGCCAGGACCCCAGGTAAGGGGACCCAGTTAGTGGTGGGGCCCCAGAGCCTTCGAATTGGCCAGAATCACCAAACCAGGTTTGCCATAGCTGGTGTTTTTTTCGGGTGACGGCAGTTCCGGTTAGTGGAGACGAGACGGGGGGGCGCCCCCAGTACAGGTCACTAAACCAGGTTCCATTAAACCCAGTTCTGCCAACGCCCGACCTTCCCGGGCCTCGGGGCCGTGCGAGAATGGCTCGGGGCGAAAAGAGAAAAACCGGGGGGGAAGGGGTCCGGACCCTGTTTCGGGGTCGACGTTGCCACAGTTTGGGGGCCACATGCGAACCCTATCCCTAATTACCCCCCACGATTTCTGAGGTGGAGGGTGGGGTTCACTTTGCCCCACCCTCCCCCTCAGAAATCGTGGGGGGTAGGGGTAGGGTTCGCATGTGGCCCCCTGACAACGAATAACGACGTCGGGGGTCTTTGGGACCCCGTTTCTCACCACCCACCAGACCACCCCAGCCCAACCCGAGATACACACCATCTGCCCTCCATTTCCAGCGTGTGGGGGAGGGGGGGCGGAGTCGGAGAGCACGGACGCAAAACACGTGCGAGGCCCGTGCCCCCCTCAACCCGAGGTTCGGGTCTCTTCGGGCTGGGTTGGGGTGGCCTGGTCGGTGGTCGGTTCCCCCCCCCCCCCGCCGAGCTCGAGCGCGAGAGGTCACCCACTGCAGCACGGGCGGCGGCGCGAGCCTGGAGCTCCTGGAGGGGAAGCTGCTGCCCGGCGTGGACGCCCGGGGCTCGGATCGCGGGGTGGGTGGGGGGGGTGGCTGCTCCTCCTTCCTCCTCCTCCTCCTCCTCCCCCTCCTCCTCCTCCTCCTCCTCCTCCTCCTCCTCCTCCTCCTCCTCCTCCTCCTCCTCCTCCTCCTCCTCTTCCTCCACAATTACTCAATATGAATATACTCTCCCTCTTCCCCTGATGGCGTGCGGGTGATAGCCGCGCGCCCTCCGCGTACCGTTTTTTTACACACAGGATGCTGGGGAAATCCCGGGAAATGACTCTCGCTGAGGCGCCGGCGTCATTTTTTCCCAAAATGCTGCTCTCGCGCCGGCGTCATTTTTTCCCAAAATGCTGCTCTCGTTGAGGCGCCGGCCTCATTTCTGCTCCCGAATCCTTCCCCTGATGGCGTCCGGGTGATAGCCGCGCACCCTCCGCGTACTGTTTTTTTACACACAGGATGCCCGGGAAATCCCGGGAAACGACTCTCGCTGAGGCGCCGGCGTCATTTTTTCCCAAAATGCTGCTCTCGTTGAGGCGCCGGCCTCATTTCTGCTCCCGAATCGTTCCGAATCGTGCTCCCGCTGCAGCGTGGGCCTCATTTTCGGATCGGTGTTTGGCCTCCGTCGTTCAGGATGGCGTTCTCGCCCCAGCGCGGGCCTTTTTCTCGCGCGCCCATCCGCCCGCCACCACCGCGCCGCACCGCCACCACCACCACCACCACCACCACCACCACACCACCACCACCACCACCCACCACCACCACCACCACCACCACCACGACAACACGCACACACGCACGCACGCACGCACGTGCACCACCACCCACTACGCACGCGCGCGCGGAGCCACAGGTCCGCTACGACACGCGTCCGCGGATAGAGACAATCAGCGCCATGGTAAGGGATGGGAGGGAGGGGTAGGACGTCAGATATGACGCGAGCGCACCTAGCTTGTCCTCCTCCTCCCCCTCCTCCCTCCTCCTCCCTCCTCCTCCTCCTCCTCCCTCCTCCTCCTCCCTCCTCCTCCTCCTCCTCCTCCTTCCTCCTCCTCCTCCTCCTCCTCCTCCGCCAGGGCGGGGCCCATCTCCTCGGTCGTTGTCGCCTCGTCTCGCCGGCGGTCGCCGAGGTTCTCCTTGCAGTCTTTCGCAGCGTTTTTTGGGTTGTCGTTTTTCGCCTGGAGGGGAGCCAGTCTGTCGTGAGGTATTTTGTTCGTCGTTCTGGGCTTCCTAGGGCCATCCGGGGAGGAGAGGAGGACGGGGATGCTGCTGCTGCTGCTGCTGCTGCTGATGATGATGATGATGATGATGATGATGATGATGATGATGATGATGATGATGATGATGATGACGATGATGAGGACGAGGAGGAGGAGGAGGAGGAGGAGGAGGAGGAGGGAAGAGGAGGAGGAGGAGGAGGAGGAGGAGGAGGTTGAGATGGAGGGTGCTCATGACCTCTGAGGCCTTGTCAGCCAGGCCGGGCAGCAGGAGCGCCTCTTGCTGCTGCGCTTTCTTCTGAGACATGCCTGGCGCCGCCAGAACAATTTTCAGATTGGCCTGAGACCTTGAGGCGGCCTCTTGCGCCAGACGCGCCTGGACAGCTCATCGTGCTTCATGGCTCAGCGCTCATCGCCTGGAGAGCCGAGGCGGAGGCCTGCCCTTTTCCAGGCCCGAGCCGAGCGGTCCCACCTCGCAGGCTCGCTCGAGGTGCCGCGGTTTTCGCCCGCCCACTCTGCGGCCGTCTTAGCCGCGCGGGCGCCCCACAGCCAGCGATCGCAAGGGCAGTCGCCGGGCGAGCTTTGGTCCCGAATTGCTCATCTGCCCAGGCTGCGCTGCCGCGCGCGTGTCCGCCGCCGTGCTCTTGGGGGCGCTCTCGGGGTTGAGGGGGGAGGTGCAGGTGGAGGGGCAGAGCCACGCTGATCGGGCGTTGCGCACTCGGGTGCGAAGAAAGGTGCACCTTTTGTGTGCACCTGAGGGCCCCTAAGAGGGCCCCCTGGGGCCCAGAAGGGGTACGACAGGTGTGCACGTGTCTTCGCGACAGGTGCACGTTTCTTTGCCCCACACCCCAGCGTATCGCCCCCCGATGAAGCAACGCTCAAGCCAAAGGGGGACACGGTAGGTCTGGGAAAAACTCAGCACGAATCTTTCTGTTGAATTCTCATTCTTGAAGAATCATTCTTGTTGATTTAGGAACATTGACGGACCGCTCTCATTCGATGGTGGGCTACATTTCCTTGAAAACGAGGTTCACTTTTGAGCGCGGGCCTCAGCCCAAATGTGTGCTGTTGAAGGCCTGGCTACAAGAGCAAAGGCTTTCGCCTCCTGAATGAACTGGTCGTGAGATGATTGTTGAATGTTCTTATTTTTGTTGATTCCCCCCCACTGGTGCCCGTTGAGTGGTTTCAATTGAAGTGCCGCCCCCTGGGCTCGCACCCCGGTTTTTGAACGGGGAAGTACTAAGGCTCAAACTACGATGTTGGCTCCAAGGCGGGCTACAGCAACACTAATGATTTTAAGACCGCTCGCTTTCTTATGCTCGCATGCAACTCAACATGTATATCCCAAACCCTCGATAACCGCATCAAGCAATTAAGACCCCCCCCTCTCCGGCGACAGTATAACGCACCCGCGCCCCAGAAGCGTTACCCTGGCACCTCGCACCTTTATGTGAATGCAGACGAGTTTGCTCTCCGAAAGAAGCAAACCTTATTCTTACTATTATGTTTATTGTCCTTATTCATATTCGTAATCTTAGTGTAATTATTATGATTCTTATGTTTATTCCCTATCTTTATTTTCCTTCCAGCTAAACAGAAGGAATCCTCCTCCTGCTCCTCCTCCTCAAGACTCTCTTACGGCACGGCACCAACACGAACAACGACAACAATACCAACAATAATACATATATCTAGAATAACAAGGCCAATAACAGCAACACCAACAACAACATCAGCATCAAACACACTAACAACACCGCCAACACCAACAATAACAACATTAAGTCCCACGCAAGGGACAGCCCAGCTTTGAGAAGGAACCGTCCGTGCCTACGATGGGTGGCGAATAATTTTGGCGGTGCGGGTGCTAAGATAACGCGCCGTGCGTGTCGGGGGCGGTATCCTCGGACGCACTACCCCACACGACGGCCGGGAAACAACAATTTTCCAATAGGGGTGGTAATAAGAATCGTATAGGACAAGGATGATGAAGAAAATGAGAAAAAGGAGGGAGGGAGGAAAGGAGCAGGGGAGCCTGTCTGTTGTCGGATTTTTATTGTTATTCATATCCTTACTCTCATTCGTATCCTTACTATTATGATTCGTCTTATTATGATGTGCAGTCTTATTGTACCTCTTGTCTTTTTGGACAAGCTGTCGTAACTAGTTTGTGCGTGTGTGGTGCAAAGAAAACGTGCCGTGCGTGGAGGGGGCGAGATCCTCGGATGCACTACCCCTCACGACGGCCGGGAAACATCACTTTGTCAAAAGGGGTGGTAATACACATCGTAAAAGACAGGGATGGTGAAGAGAATGAGAACAAGCTCTTATTCTTAGTCTTAATACTCTTTGTTATTATTATCACTCTTATTCTGACTAGTATTGCCAGTATTATCATCATTCTTGATCGTATTAGTCCGATCAGTCTTACTCTTCTTATTATTATTCTTATTATGATTATGATCAGTATTAGTATTATTACTCTTATTCTTATTATTACTATTCTTGTTTTTGTATGATTGTGAATGCTCTTACCCTTATATTTGTTATGTTCTTATTACTGTTCTCATTACGCTTCTTATCATCATTATTATTATTAACATTTATTGTTCTTATTACTCGTGTGCCATTCTTATTCTTATTACAATTGCAATTGGGATACCACCCGAGCCGGGGCGCGGGAATTATTTATGTTCGTTCCATTTGCGCGGTGCTAATCATATCGTTCGGCGAAAACCGCCCCCCCCCAGAATTATTTAATTACGGTGCGGTGCTAATGAGAACCCCAGGGGGGTCCTTAATGGCTTGATGGGGTTATCCGCCCTCTTTGTCTTTGATCGTACCCCCTTTGGGGGTACATCTTCCTTCCCTGCCACGTGTAGTTGGCACAGACCCCAAAACATGGTAAAGGGAGGGAGGGTGGAAGGGACAAAGGGGGAGGGAAAAGGATGGAGCACGAGAGAGACTCGCAGGACGGTGGTTAGGAGCAGGAGAGCGAACAGCACGACCAGACGGCCTGGTCGGGCAGGCAGAACCCAACAGGCGGGTCTAGCGTGCGGGCCCAGACGGCTGGGTCGAGCTGACGGGTCGCTGAAGGGTCAGTCCTGCATGAATCGCGAGGAAGTCTCGAGCGGGAGCGCGATTCTCAAGTAAACCATGAGAAAGTCCAGGGCGAGAGCGTGATTCCTGAGTGTCGAGCGGCGTCTCAATCATGTGCGAGGAAGGCCCACGCGAGAGCGCGCTTCCTGAATCTTTTGTGAAGACGTCACGCGCGACAGCGCGATTTTGAATTTATTTAATCGCTTCGCTCATTCCGCCGGCCCATATTTTCGCACCGTTGTGGGCTAGCCGAGTTTTGGGGGCCGTTTTGGGGCCTCTTGGGGCCTCTTTTGGGCCTCTTGGGCGCCTCTTGGGGCGTCTTGGGGGCCTCTTGGGGGCCTCTTGGGGCCTTTTTGGGGCCTCCTGGGCGCCTTCTGGGGCGGAGGGCTCGATTTTTCAGTTCTCGGTTCCCCTCTTGAGCCCCTCTTGGGCCCGTCTTGGGGCCTCTTGGTCCGTCTTGGGCGGCACTTGGGCCGTCTTGGGGGCCCTCCTGGGCCGTTCCGGGGCCGTCTTGGGAGCCTCGTGGGCCGTCTTGGAGCGGTCTTGGGGGCCTCTTGGGCCGTCTTGGAGCGTCCGGAAGCCGAAAAAGCCAGAACACAAAAAACATCGAAAAAACCAATGAAAATCAACGATTTTGGCCTCTTGGGGCTCTCTTCGGAGGCCTCTTGGAAGGCTCTTGGGGCGTCTTGGAGGCCTCTTGGGCTGTCTTGGGGGCCTTTTGGGCCGTCTTGGGGTCATCTTCGGCGTCTTCGAGCGCTCTTTGGGCGTCTCGGGGGCCTCTTGGGCAGTCTTGGGGGCCTCTTGGGGCACTCTGAGCGCGCTCTGGGGAGCCTGAGAGGCCGCACCCAGAAGGAAAACCATCTCTGAGTAGACTTGGTCGGGCGGTGGTCGGGCGGCGGTCGGGCGGCGGTCGGGCGGCGGTCGGGCGTTGGTCGGGGTACTTTTCGCCGGGGGACCCCCAGGGGCCGCCCCGCAAGTTTATTTGCACGGAGGGGGTCGGGCAAGGCCCCGAAGGAGATCTGGAATCGCTCAGGCCGAAACCCACTTGCACGCTGTACCGGCCTTGCACTGCCTCGTGAGGCGGCGGAGCCAAAATCCCATGCAAGCGAACCTGCCTGAATCCAGTGACGCGCTCTCCCGAACATCGGCTCAGAATCGAGCCCCGGGCTTCCAACGTGGTCCGTCCGGCTCGGCTCTTTCGCCCCGGATCGATGTCTGAGGGCCCCAGGGCCCGACATTCGGGTGAACGTAAAGGGGGGTGGCCCAGACGGGGTGTGAACTCGGACGGCCTCGGAGGCGGCGCAGAGGAGGTCTGAAATGAAATGTGATTCAATCGTTTCGCTCACTCCGCTTGTCCATATTGCATGATCGCGCCGTGGTGGGCTAGCCGAGTTTTGGGGCCTGTTGAGGGCCGTTTTGGGGCCTCTTGGGGCCTCTTTTGGGCCTCTTGGGCGCCTCTTGGGGCGTCTTGGGGGCCTCTTGGGGGCCTCTTGGGGCCTCTTTGGGACCTCCTGGGCGGCTTCTGGGGCGGAGGGCTCGATTTTTCAGTTCTCTGTATCCCTCTTGAGCCCCTCTTGGGCCCGTCTTGGGGCCTCTTGGTCCGTCTTGGGCGGCACTTGGGCCGTCTTGGGGGCCCTCTTGGGCCGTTTCGGGGCCGTCTTGGGAGCTTCGTGGGCCGTCTTAGAGCGATCTTGGGCGCCTCTTGGGTCGTCTTGGAGCGTCCGGAAGCCGAAAAAGCCAGAACGCAAAAAACATCGGAAACACCAATGAAAATCGACGATTTTGGCCTCTTGGGGCCCTCTTCGGAGGCCTCTTGGAAGGCTCTTGGGGCGTCTTGAAGGCCTCTTCGGCTGTCTTGGGGGTCTCTTGGGCCGTCTTGGGGTCATCTTCGGCGCCTTGGAGCGCTCTTTGAACGTCTCGGGGGCCTCTTGAGCAATCTTGGGGGCCTCTTGGGGCACTCTTGGCGCGCTCAGGGCGGCCTGAGAGGCCGCACCCAGAAGGAAAACCATCTCTGAGTTGAACCGGGCGGGACCTTGCCAGGCGGCGGGCGGGGTACTTTTCGCCGGGGGACCCCCAGGGGCCGCCCCGCGCGCGCGAACTAGTTTGAATTTATTGTGGGGAAATATTCGGCGGGAGTCGTTGTTGTTGTTGTTGAACATTATTAATTCTAAAGAATAATTATTGTTGGGGCCCCTGGTGCACGGCCCCCCTGCGCCGCCTAGGCCGCAGCTACATTTTCATCATTTTCGTGAGGAAGCCTCAGGTAATTCGATGTGATCAAGATCCGGTTGTTTTGTTCCCCCCCGCTTTCCCTTGCAAAAAACACTATAAAATGACATTTCTTGTTCTAATATAATCAAATTTCAAGAATCCCTTGCAAAAAATAAGGTAAAGTGGACATTCGCGCGCGCAAGACGAAATCCTTCCAAAAGCTTAGTGTTCGGAGCGATTTTAACATAAAAACATCAAAAAACCAATGGTTTTTCAACAAAAAAATGTCAAAATCTCATCCCGCGCGCTCTTGCGGATTCGTAGGAAACCAACACTTTTTAAACATTTCTGTCAAACGGGCTTTTGCGAGCAACTTTTTCGAACTTCTGCGACAACGGTTGCGCACCTGCCAGGGCCATCATCCCTGTCAAATAATACCATGCGGGACACATTCGTTTTTTCTTCGCGCGCGCACGCCGAAATCTCCAAAAACCATCAGGACAACCACAACCATCAGGACAACCATCGGGACAACCATCGAGACAACCATCGGGACAACCATATCCTCTCTCTCTTGTGTATTCCCACATCCCTCAGGAATTTGCCCTCAAGATGTGATCAACTATCTTGTGAGTACGTATCATGTGTATCATGTGTATCATGTACCATATGCATCATATGCAACAGATGTTCTGTGGAAGGCTTCACAACTTCTGTGGGTTAACAAGGCTTAACAACTTCTGTGGGTGTACGAACGTAGGCTTAACAACTTCTGTGGGTGTGTACTCCACGCCAGTGTAGTAGCCACGGTCGTCCGCAGGCCACGAAGTGAAGTGTCCGAACGTCATAGGGCGGGAAGCTGGGTGTGGGTGGTGGCGAAGAGTCGTGTGGATATTTGGTAGAGCTTGCACTGCCCCCCCACAAAGTGGGGGTATTGGCTGGCGTCGCATGAAAACCCTGGCACTGGTGAGAACACTGAGCGTTCGGGTAAAGTGATTGTTGTTGTTGTTGTTGTTGTTGTTGTACTTCGGGGGCCAGGGGCCCAATCGTGAGAATTCAGCGACTCCCGCCTGATACTCACAATTCATTCGAAACCGCGCTCTCGCTTTAGACTTCGTCATGATCACATAGTTCACCCGAGAATCACCTTCGCAATTTAGAAAGGCGCTGTGCTCTCGACGTCCAGGAATCGCGCTCTCGCACGAGATCTCCTCGCAAGTTACCCAGGCCTCGCCCGAGGCTCTGCCACAGTTTTCGGAGCGTGCTACCGTGCCCCGCCCGCCTCACCCGCACGTCAGGGCCCGCCCGCCCGATCCGCCCTCGTGGGCTCCGCCCGGTCGCCTGCTGGGAAGCCCCCCGCCCGCGTCCATGGTCCGCCCGACCCGCCGGGTGCTCAGGAGAGAAAGACAGTACACACGGACACAAGTGATCGTCGACTCCCAGGAAAACGTGGGAAAACATGGGAAGTGGGTGGGGGGGGGGACGACGAAGACCAGAGGACGTGGGGAAACGAGGGGAATCCTGGGACTCGTTTGCGTGTGTGTGTGTGTGTGTGTGTGTGTGTGTCTGTTTGTGTGTCCCTGGGCCCCTTCAGCTACTTCGGGGTGTGCCCGCGCCCTCTGCCGTGCTCTTGGAGCTCCGCCCGCCCGACCTGCCCGTCAGGGTCCGGCCCTTCGCATGCTTGGAGGCCCGCCCGCCCGCCCGCTCGGCACGCCCATCCGGGTCCGCCCGCCCGGCCCGCTCGCCTACAGTCGACAAGCTGCACGCTTAGGGCGCACGGATGTCCTCAGGGTACCCTTGCGTCCTTGCCTCTGGGGCCCGTCCTCCCTCGCGATTTTCACTGGCCAGCCCTTCAGGGTGTTGGCGGTCCGCCACCCAAGAATTGCCAACTTCGGCGTCCAAGGCCCTTGCGTCCTTACCGCCCGTCCCTACTATCGATGTCGACTGTACATCTTGCTCTTCCCTCCACCACCTCCTCCTCCTTCGCCCTCGATCCGCCTCCGTTCCTCTTGCCATCCTCCCTTCTCGTTTCGTCATCCTTCCCTAGCTGTCTCCCTTCTTCTTTTCCCGCCTCCTGCTGCTCCTCTAATTTTTCGAGGGCCGCGCCAACGACACGCGGCACGCAAGGCAAAGACACGCCCCCCACAGAGGGTACGAACGAAGACGACGATGGCAGGCAGCGAAGAGCGAACAGTCTTGACCTCCTCCTCCTCCTCCTCCTCCTCCTCCTCCTCCTCCTCCTCTGATTGTGATGTTGTTGAGGTTGCTGTCCCGCCCCCCCGCCTGCACGGGCTCTCACCGGGCCCTGGGGCCGTCGAACAGTGGCTCTGGCTGAAGATCTGGTCCAGGAGAAGTGGTCTAGGCTTACGTCGGGCCTGTCCCTCCACAGGAGGAATGTTGAAAACTAGTCCGAGAAATAGTTTGAGGACGATTCTTTTTTTAGTATCGCAATTTTGAGTATTTTGGTGAATTCTTGTATTGTTCCCCCAAAGTCTGCCTGTAGGGGGACATGCCCGACCTGAGTCTAGGCTGCTACGGGCCGAGACGGTGCTGTGTCGTGTCGGCGTGGCGGCGAAAAGTCAGCGCGGGCGCTCGAGGCGGCGCGTCGCTGGTGGCCCGGAATCGGCCGATATCGAACGATCTGTTCTGTCCTCCTCCTCCTCCTCATTCTTCTCCTTCGCCTCCTCCTCAACCTCGAACGATTTGCTCTGTCCTCCTCCTCCTCCTCCTTCGCCTCCTCCTCCTCCTCCTCGAACGATTTGCTCTGGCCTCCTCCTCCGCCTCCGCCTCCTCCTCCTTCGCCTCCGCCTCCTCCTCCTCGTTCGAAGGATTTGCTCTGTCCTCCTCCTCCTCCTCATCCCGAGTTTCTTCATGCCTGTCTGTACGCAGCTCCCTCTGTGCTAGTGTCTATTCTCCACATGTTGTACGAGGCATCTTCCACTGCGACTGCGCCCAGTTGCCTGGACTGCGTGCCCCTTGCGCCTACCCTCTCAGAGAACCGCCCCATAGGGGCAGGAATGTTGGTCGCATCGCATCGCATCGCATTGCTCTGTCGGTAAGCCACGATCGTTCAAGATTGAACGGTCCTTGCGGTGTCAGAAACCAATGCCGTTGTCGCCAGAGCACGAACCTGCCGTAGGTTTCTCGAAGCGTTCCCTAGTACCTTTTCCGCCTGGAGGGCAGACGGAAGCGGAGTTGCTTTGTGCAAGCACGCGCGTTGGGGCTCGATGCGATGGGGGCCTTGGCCATTCTTTGGGAGCGAAGAAGACGCGAGCCCCCCCTCCGCCCCCCCTCCCCCGCGCACGCACACCAATCTTCGGATGCAACTCCTGGGAGGTCAAATTCTGTTTTTGCCCTGGTCCGAAATCCGGCTGAATCCGGCTTAATCCCGCTTAATCCGGCTTCATCCAGCTGAATCCCACTTAATCCGGCTTAATCCGAGGCCCACTGCAGCATAGCAACCCCCCAATGGGGCTCAATCTTCTTTAATCTTTCCGACGAAAACCTCCCAGTAGTTGCCTCCTAACCAATCGCTGCAGGCCGGGTGGCGCATGGAGCGCTGCTCCCAGACTGGCCCTCGGGTAGTGAAGAGGCCGCTCCACGGGGGTCACCACCGGGAGAGGCCCTCACCTTCCCGAGAAGGAGGGCTTCGAGATCGTCCAGCACGAGCTCATCGATCGTCGGCCATCGAGTCTCGATCCTCAGGAGGAGCTGGCGAGCCCCTCGGTGGTGACCCTTTGTGGGCATTCCTTTTTGGGTTCGGGTGGCAAGACAAGATGTGTGCACATCCGCAGCTCCTGGCCAGGCCCGTCCCGGGTCCGGGAGCGGTGCATGTGCCTCCCTGGCCAGGCCAGGAGGGTGCATGCATCGCTTGGTCCCAGGATGGACCTGACCAGGGGCGATCTATGTACATGCATGTTTATACCTATATGTGCATGTGTATGTGTATGCATATGTTTATGTACATGTATATGTATATGTATATGTATTTGTATATACATATGTATACGTATGTGTAAATGTATATGTTTATGTATACGTATATGTATATGTATATGTACTTATGCATGCACATGCATAGGCATATGTAGATGTATATGTATATGTATATGCATGTGTATATGCATATGCATAGGTATATGCGTATACTTGCACATGTACATGTATATATGTATATGTATGTGTAGGTATATGTGTATATGTACATGCATATGCATATGCATATGTCTATGTATATGCATGTGTCCACGTCTATGTCTACGTATGTATGTTTGTATGTATACGTGTATTCATATGTTTATGTATATGATAAGTATGTGTGTATGTGTATGTGTACGGGTGTACGGTTATACATATATATATATGTATATTCCCCATTTCAGTGCTTGCAATGAAGGGGTCTTAGCGCAAGTTGAAAGATTAGGCGAACGTTTTCCGCCGATTTTGGTTTCAGGCTGGGTTTTCGGGTTCCCAGGTTCCCGGTTATTGGTTCCAGGCCGATTTCGGTGGGTTTTGGGTTCCCGGGTTCAGGGTTCCCGGTCGATCTCTTCAGCGAAAACCATCCACTGATTGGGGCTTTTCTCTGGTGTAATTACACCCGAGAAAAACCAAACGTGCTATATGCTACCAAACGGGCTTCGCGCGAGCACATGTCGAAATTGTTCGAACGCCCTTGCGTGCGTGCCGTCGCGAGAATACTTTGCAACAAATGTGGCGAAGTGCACGCGCGCGTCGTCGCGCGCGCATGCCGAAATCTGTCAAAAACCTTAAGTTTCGCAGCGATTCCAAAGCCGAATGTCCAAAACACATGCAACAGCACATGGTTTCTTAGCGTCAGTTTTCAAAGAAAAAAGAGCGCCCGCCCTCTTGCGAATGCTTGGGACAACCTCAGATTTTCAATATGTTCACGGAATTCTGCCAAACGGGCCTTTCGCGCCGCATGCCGAAATCATTCGCGCGGTTTTGCGCGCGTGCTGGGGGGCACGACCCGTGTCAAATAATACCATGGGCCCCTCTCGCGCGTCGGCCGCGCGCGCGTATACTTTTTTCAAAAACTTCATCGCCGACGCGAGGACGCCGTCGTCTTCGTCGGCGTGATGAGCATCGGCGCCCGCACTGGCCGCGCCTTCGCCATTGTCAACATCGTTACCAGCATCGCTACGATCATCATCGTGCCTACCGTTGTCGACGTTGCCATGATACAACGCCCGCCCAAGTCGCCGACTCGCAGTGAAGTGCCCGCTGGGATGCGTCCAGCGGTCAGCGCCGCCGCGGCCGCGTCGCTCGCGCCAAACTAGCTGGCCGCTGTGCGCGCGTGTTTGGGTTGGCGCGACCGCAGAGATGCACCAGCCAACGCCCAGCATGCATCGTAATCGCCACAGCGTGGGTTTTGCAAGCCAAGTTGCGGGTGGGTGGGTGGGATGTTTGCAAGAGCATGGGGTGTGCCAGCTCGTTTGTTAAAATCAGTCGCACCACATAGAGTGCACCGCGAATCTTGCACAGCGGATCTTGCGTGACCTGGGCTGCACACACTTTACTGCACCATATAGATTGCACAACGCACAGCAGACGTTGCACCACACATTGCACCGACTATATACATCGATAGCTCGATTGCACCACATTTGTTGCACCCCATATGCTGGGCAACCGACATAGCGCAGCATTTGGTCCACAGCGTAAAAGGGCACAACATATGTTGCATCACGTCGAGTGAACCACGTAAGCGGCTACATATATATATATATATATATACACACATATACGTACATATATAATATTCCTGTATGAATGCAGCGGGGTTCTCAACTCGGCCCCGCGAGTTGTAATTCTTGACGAATCGCGTATCCCCACCAGTTCCGTAGCTTGGCTCAGCCAGCACCGCGCGCCCGTGGGTGCAGCCCGGGGGGCTGCGAGGCGCAGGTAGGATGGCTGCGGCGGCGCCATCGGCCGCCGAAGGGACGGCGGCCAACGGCGCCGACCCCTCTCCCGCCATCAGCTACACCGCCGGGCACCTGGCGACCGCGGCTCCGGGCAGTGGGTACGTGGACAGACGGCAGTGGCAGCACGGTAGGAGTAGGGAATGACCAGCGCCACCCAAAATTGCAGCGCCACCACCGCGACCAGCGCCACGACCAACATTCCGACCAGCACAACGACCAGCACAACGGCCAGCACTCCGACCAGCACAACGACCAGCACAACGACCAGCACTCCGGCCAGCACAGCGACCAGCGCCACGTCCCCGACCAGCACAACGACCAGCACCACGACCAGCACACCGACCAGCACAGCGACCAGCACAACGACCAGCACAACGACCAGCGCAACGACCAGCACCACGACCAGCACTCCGACCAGCGCCACGCACAGCACCATGACCAGCATCCCGACGAACACCACGACCAGCACAACGACCAGCACCACGACCGTCGCACCGACCATCACAGCGACCAGCACTCCGACCACAACGACCAGCACAGCGACCAGCGCAACGACCAGCACTCCGACCAGCACAATGACCAGCACAACTGCGTGCACAACGACCAGGGCAACTACCAGGATCACGACCAGCATAACGACCAGCACCACGACCAGCACAACGACCAGCACCACGACCAGCACTCCGACCAGCACAGCGGCCAGCACTCCGACCAGCACCACGACCAGCGCAACGACCAGCACCACGACCAGCGCGACAACCAACACAGCTACCACCACAACAACCAGCACTCCGACCAGCACAACGACCAGCGCCACGACCAGCACCACGACCAACACCACGACCAGCACAGCGACCAGCACAGCGACCACCACAACGAGCAGCGCCACGACCAGCACTCCGACCAGCACTCCGACCAGCGCAACGACCAGCACAACGACCAGCACTCTGACCAGCACAACGACGAGCTCCACGACCAGCACTCCGACCAGCACCACGACCAGCACTCCGACCAGCAACGCGACCAACACTCCGACCAGCACCACGACCAGCGCAACGACCAGCACAAAGACCAGCACAACGACCAGCGCCACGACCAGCGCCGCGCCACGACCAGCACTCCGACCAGCACGGCGACCACCACAACGACCAGCACCACCGCCAGCACCACGACGAGCACCACGACCAGCACCACGACCTGCACCACGACCAACGCCACGACCAGCACACCGACCAGCACACCCACCACCGCAACGACCAGCACTACGTCCAGCACAACGACCAGCTCAGCGAACAGCACCCCGACCAGCACTCCGACCAGCCTTGCTGCGTCATCTCGCGCGCGCGCCTCCGACGTTGGCAGCGACGCATGCACATCGAGGCCTTGCGCGGGCGTCTGCAGATCGAGTCCGCGAGGCGGTTGCGGGCCGAGGAGCAATGCCGAGTATTGACGGCGGCCCCTGGCGGGACTACGGCCCGCGAGCGTGCCGTCCTGGCGGGCCACCGCTTGCATGCGGCAGCATGCCGCCACACTGGCGTAAGTGATCACCACGGCCCCGTGGCGCTTCGGCGCGCTGGGTGGTTCAGCCCTGCTGCCCGGGAGACGCTCCTACGCGCCGCCGTAGGCAGACACCACGGGCTTGCCGACATGTCAGACGAGGGGTTTGCGGCCCTCTCCGCGCCGGCGCTGCGAGCCGCGCAGCGAGACGCGCGCCGCTTGGATCGATGCGCTTCGCCAGGCGAGCCCTGGTACAGTGCTGCGCCTTTCGCTGAAGCGGCCGGGGACTTTCCAGGGCGCCGCGCGGCTGCGGTGTTGCGGGTGCAGACAGCGTGGCGGAGACACGCGAGTGTTCGCCGTTCTCCTTTGGTCGCCAACCTGCGCTGCCAACGCCGCATCGACCAGCAGCCTTCCGACCAGCATCAGCACAACGACCAGCACAACGACCAGCACTCTGACCAGCACAACGACGAGCTCCACGACCAGCACTCCGACAAGCACCAAGACCAGCACTCCGACCAGCAACATGACCACAACGACCAGCACCACGACCAGCGCCACGACCAGCACAAACACCAGCACAACGACCAGCACTCCGACCAGCGCAACCACCAGGACCACGACCAGCACCACGACCAGCGCCACGACCAGCACTCCGACCAGCGCCACTCAGACGCGACTTCTCCCGAGACCCCCGACGGACCACAGCGCTGCTGGGCCGACTCCCACCTTGGCCAGCCCCCCGGCTTGGGAACGTGGCGGGGCGGCGATTGGGCAGGGCGCGCGGCTGCAGCAGTGCTCCGGCTCCAACGTGCGTGGAAAAGA